TGTGTGTGTGTGTGTATGTCTGTGTTTGTGTGTGTGAGTGTGTGTTTGTGTGTGAGTGTGTATGTCTGTGTTTGTGTGTGTGTGTGTGTGTGAGTGTGAGTGTGAGTGTATGTGTGAGTTTTAGGGTATGTGAGTGTGAGGGTATGTGAGTGTGAGTTTGAGTGTGTCTTTGTTTTTTTTTCTGTTTTTGTGTCTTTGTATTTGTAAAATATTAGGTTACACTTACCTTGTATTTTTTAATAGTTGTTTTCTTTTCACATTTTATGGAAGTATCTCCTCGATCTACGGATCTTGTTTTTTCAGTCTTCCGATATCATATTTACCTGATAGTTCGTTTGTTTCGTGAAAATTTCGTATTAATGTACAAATATTCTTAAGGATTACGTTTGAGATGACTTCAGAGATGTCACTGCTCGAGTTGAGATTGAACGCTATTCACACAAGCTTGAGGTGACACTTACTAATTCAGACATCGGTTGGACCTTCCCTGCCTTCCCGCTCAGCTTCTTCCGTGTTTCGGCCAGTGCATCTGTGTTTTTTTCTCAACGTCTTTTTTCTCCTTCTTCCGGGTATAAAAGACACATCTTTAACATATATTACCTGTTAATTATTCTATCAGTGATACTACTATTCGAAAGTATTTGTATCCTCGAATAAAAATACGTAGAAGATTGCGGTACTTTTACTTACGTCTGGCAGTGGGCATTGGTCGCAGTACGAGAGTTGTCAAGGTCGTCTGCTTCCTTGGCGACCTCACCTCGTAACCCGGACGCAGTGCTGCCAATAAAAGAAAAAAATAATGAATACAAGACGTGCATTTTTTTCAAAATGTGTAGTAACACTCATACAATTAACAGGTGGATACGGACTTCCTACAGGTTAAAATAGCAACTGTAGAGCAGTATTTGTATTATTGCCAGTCATGGAGAAATTCACATTGAAATATTTGCGCATCTGTCCAGACAGGAGGATGTGTTTTTATTCCATCGCTTCTTCAACTCCTCACGCACATCCTGGTAATCCCAGTGCCATGTTAGACAGTGACAGTGAGGGCAATACGTCGTTAGGGAGGTTTTACTTTCACGATAAAACAAGACTTTTGTCCTGTCATCAGTACATTCTAATTACAGTCAACTCAGTGGCCATTTTTCTCTATATTTTACAAGCAGTTTCCCTTACTCACTCTCTCTCTCTCTCTCTCTCTCTCT